CAGAAGACTTGTCATACTCAGGAGCAAGAGTAAGTAGTAGGCTACTGGATGGGATAGCCTTCCCGGCTTTCAGTAGTGCAAACTCTCCTTGGAAGCTCTCCATCTGAGCATGTCTCAGCAGGGACAGCTCTGCCTGCTGGGGGTCATCAGCAGTAGGATGGCTGGTGATAGCAGCCGCCCCATGCAGTGACTGGGTGGTGGCTTTCAGGAGTTCCTGGTAAGTGTTGAACTGGTGTATGCTAGGCATTACTGGACTGGTTGAACATGACAACAGGCTGCAGAACACTGTCTTCCTCAGCTCTTCTACTACCTGTGCAGGTTCTCCCACTGGTGCCTTTGGTCAGTGGTTGACCTACAGTTGATAAAATGGTGGCCCTTGGCTCCAGCGATTCTGTGAATCAAGCTAAGCCAGTGTCTTCCCTCTCATAATGTCGTCAGCGGGATTAGTTCCTGAGTCAACGTAGCGCCAGGATGCTGGGCTAGAGAGCTCTTGTATTTCTGCAACTCTGGTTCCCAAGAACACTTGAGGCATGAGTCTGAATGAGCACTGTAGTGGAGTCTGTCCAATACACCACCTCCTGGATATCACAAGTGAGCTCCTTCTTCGGGACCGAAGCTAACTGTGCTCCTGTTAGAGTTTAGCATAATTCCAGTCTGGGGATTGAGAGTTGCTTCTTGGGCGCCACTCTTGACCTCGCAGCCAAGAAGGCCACAAGGACTTGTCCTTTACCCCTGTCAGTGCGCACATAAGCTACGGACCCATATGCTTGCTCGGAAGCATCACAGAACACATGAATGCTTTGAATGCTGTTGCTGCAGTCCATGCTTGGGTCAGCATCTTGGTAGGATAATCAGTGACAGCTGGGACAGTTCACCTTCCCACTGATGCCAAGCTTGAAGCAGGTTTTCTGGTAGATAGGGATCGCCCCATCCTCGTTTCTTATTCCAGAGGTGTTGCACAATGACCTTGGCTTGAGTTGTATATGGGATAAGGAAACCGAGAGGGTCATACTGCTGGGCAAGCAGCCGACAGATGTTGTGCATTGTCGGCTCTGGACTTTCACTCTGGTGACGCGTGTACCAAAGTGTGTCAGACTTGCACTGTGATACAAGTCTTCGAGTGCACTCCTGAGGATCAGCTGATTCTTGGGAGAACCAATGTACACTGCTCTCTGACCAGGACTCCACAGATAAGTGGCAGATGACTGTAGGGACATTACTAGCCCATTGCCGCAGTTTGAATCCACCTCTGTGAGACGAGACTGCAGGCGGTTCACCAACTCATTAGCTTGCACTTTCGAGGGGAGACTGCAAACAGTTGTCAACGTAGAAGTTTCATTCCACGAACCGACGGACATCCTCTTCTGGTTTCGTGTGTTTCTTGACATGTGACTGAAGTGCAAAGACGGCACAGCATGGGTTGCATGTAGTCCCAAAGGGGAGTACTTGCCATTTGTAGACAGTAGGTTTCTTGTCTACCTTCATGTCTTGCCACAGAAAGCAGAGGAAGGGTTTATCTTCTTCTAGCAGACGAACCTGGTGGAACATCCCCTTCACGTCACTACTAATGGCAACTGGGTGTACCCTGAACCTGAGTAGGACTCCCAATAGGCTGGCTCTAAGGTTGGGCCCTGGCAAGAGGTGGCCATTAAGGCTCTGTCCCTTGAATGTGAAGGAACAATTGAAGACTATCCTTTCTTTACCATTGTGGTGCAACTTGTGGTGCAGGATCAACCATGAATGGTTGCTCTTCACAGCCTCTGCAGGTGACACAGGTGTTACATAGCCAGCATCAAGGAGTTTGTGGATTTCCTTGGAGTAAGCTGCTGCCCTTTCTGGTTCTCTGGCTAGTCGCTTCTCTGTCCCACGTAGCTGAGCCAAGATGGCTTCAGGTGTAGCACGGAGCAGAGGAAGATTTTCCTTCCACAGCAACGGGTTGGTGTCACTCGTCACTCCATCCACAGTAACCCTGATTGTCTTTTCTTCAAGCCTTCGGATGGCCTCAGCATCTTGTCTGGATCTGGTAATGAGCCACTCACTACGATATGGTAAGGTATCCATTTGCCACAGTCTCTTGACATGGCTGAATAGCTAAGCTTCTGGTGTGGAGCAAGAAGTGAAAAGACACCTCTGTGGTGTTAATCGTTGACACAGGAATCGAGGGACCTTGTAGTGTTCATCCAAGTCTGGTGCCCACAGCGGCAGGTCCACCAGGGGGACCCAGGTGTACCGGCTCCACTGGGGTGATAAGATGTGGATTATGTGACCCAATGAGCAGCAGTGGCTGGGCCTCCCTTATGTCTGGCAGTGCCAGATACTTAAGATGATGGTACCTCTCCTGTAGAGCCTTCACCAGAATAAGTAAGCAGAATAAGTAATAAGCCTGCCAGAGAACATCAGGACCGCAGAGATTGTCAATGTTTTTAAAAGGAGGCTCAAGACCCACCTTTTTAGTTTAGCTTTTAGCTGATTTAACTGTTTTAGTTTATTTTATCCTTTACTTTTATCACATTTCTATGTCATTTAGATATTTTAACATTATTTTAATTCCTGTACTCTACCATCTCTTAGTCTTTTTAGCTCCATTGTTTCCTCGTGGGGGCCCTCCACACTGGGAGGTGTGTCTGGTCTGCCCCCGGGGGCGTGGTCCTTGGGATCATCCAGGCCCGGACGGCTAGGGGGCTCTGCACTATGTGCGGTGTGCACCTGGGCTGTCTGGGTCGGGGGGTCTCGGGGGCGGGCGGTGCTCCCTGTGGAGGTGGGCTGTGGCTCCTCTCGGTGTGGACGGCTCCCATAGGTGGTTTTTCCTCACCAGGATCCTCAGTGCCTTGCCATGTTTTTACTGACAGTTAGTGTGTGGGTGTGTGGATACGTGTGTGCGTGTGTGTGTGTGTGTGTGTGTGTGTGTGTGGGGGGGGGGGGGGGGTATGTGTTGCTGTGAGTGGGAAGGGACGGGTTTGATACTTATTTCATTGCATTATATTTGCCGTTGTTTGTATTTATCTTTTTTGTAAAGCACCTTGTGTTGCAGCTTGTATGAAAGGTGCTATATAAATAAAGTTTGATTTGATTTGATTTGATTCACTGGGTAAGTGTGACGAGCGAGGCTGAGTTCCTTTGCAGTGAAGGCTCTGTGGATTTGGAAGGATTTGCTAGGCTGTGAAGCAGGAGCTAGAGAGAATGAAACTGTGGTGCCATGAATATGGCAAACCTCTTGCCAGACAGAGCAGTGTGATAGGTCCTCAGGTTCCCCTTGAAGCCCCAAGCGTTCAGCAGTCTCATGTAAGAGCATGGTATGCTCTGAACCATTGTCCAATATAGCGTAAGTCTCAATCACCTTGGTACCACTCTTGAGGATGACACGACACAACTTAAGTAGAACCTGGCTGGTTAGTTGATCTACATAAAGTGTCTCAGAGATGGAACTTACCAAGCAGGTGCTTTCCTCAGTTGGGCTTTGCAGATGCTGGTGCAACTTTGTGAAGAACCTCAAGGTGCCGTCGTTCACATTGTTTGAACTTGGCTTTGAGGTTACTCTTAGTCGCTTGGCGCTTACGGCCGCATCTCCAACACCTCTTGTTCAACTTGATCCACTCTGTCTCCTATTCCCTCAACGAGAGTTTGAAATTACTGCACTGACTCAGGTAGTGCTGCACAGTGTCGCAGAATGGGCAGTACTTTCTGGGGGCAGGTTTCTCCTTTATGGCAGTCTTGTCTTTCTCTGACCTTCCCTTCTGTTCACCACCATGGAGAATAGTCGTAGTCTTATGAGGCTTGTACTCAGGATGCCTCTCTTTCCATGGAGCAGATTTTCTCTCTATCTGAGTGATCACAGTACTGGTCTCCAATCACCTGGACATGCACCTCATACTCAAGCCACTTAGCTAGGTCTAGCAGTGTCGGTATAGGAGTGTAGATGGGGTTCACAAATCTCTGAAAGTTGGCTCTTCAGTCATATGGCAACTTAGCTAAGAGGCGAGATACATGTGAGCTGCACCTCAACTTCGCCTGACCCTGCTCCCCCAACTGATGCAACATGCCAACCAGTGCACGGATCTGAAGAGCGAATGACTTGAAGGATATGATGTCACCACTCCTGATGTTAGGTCCATCCATCAGTTTGGTGATCTTCTTCAAGGCCAGATGTTGAGGTTGACCGTACATCTCGGTAAGTGCTCTCATGGTGTCATTTAAGGGGAAACGCTGTATGAATCAACAACGAGCAATGTTTCTTCACACTTAAGGTGATCAGTCAGTATCTGAAACTTGAAATGTTCTAGAGCCTTGAGTGGGAGTATGTTGTCCAAAGCTAACTTCAATCTTGCAAACTCATGTGGGTCCTCATGCACAAGATCAGGGATTGTTGGTTGAGGTCCACGATAAGTCTCTGCTGGTGGGCAGCTGATGAAAGTAGCAGGAGTCTGCAGCCACCCATCTGGTTGTGGGCGAACGGGTGAGTACCGACAAGGATCACCAGGGTAGCGGTTATCCCCATGCCTGTACAGATCATGAGCAGGGCGGTAGTGACTGTCAAGGAGATCAGGGGAAAGATCAGAGTGATCTTGTCTGTAATAGTCATCATCATAGTAACTCTTGTATTAGACAGTCTATGGGATCTGGCAGGATGACGGCTGACAGGCCGATCATAAAAATCGTCAGCCTGGGGATAATACCTGCTGTCATGCTGTTTGGGCGTAGCACTAGGAGGAGGGCGGTGACTGTCCATAAGACGATTGGAAACAGCACTAGGTAAAGAGCACGAAGTGCATTGTTCTTGATAGAGTTGCTGCGACTGTCCCTCAGTGGTTGAATGTTGAGTTGGAGGAACCTTCTCGCCCTTTTTTGTGAGTGGGAGGAAGTCTTAAGTTTGAGGGAATGACTCACCAGAAGATGATGGTGACTGTGCTGCCCCATTACCATGCAACCCTGCTCTCTTTAGACTGTGAGTGAACTCCGCTATCAGGCCATGCTGGCTGTCTTGTTGCAGTGGGGATTCATCACTAACTGACAGCTTTGGGGCACTCATGCTGATGTGGGTCCTTGTGACCTCTAGATGGCACCAGCTTACTAGCGTGCGCAGATGTGGATGAAGTCTCGTCCTCACGCAGTCTGGACTGTGACATGGTATGCTGTGGGGCTAGTACAAGGGAGCTCGAGATGACTTCTGTAAGACATTGCAGATCTCGTCGCAGTTGGTCATGTTCTTCTCTCATGTTATTAATATACTGAAGAACCTCAGGAGAAATAGTATGTCTGGCCTGCTCATAATATGGGGGTTGGTGCTTGGCGGGGTAACCCACTTCATAGTCCTGGAGATATGGTGGCAGTTGGCTGCATTTGCGCAGGTGATCAGACACACTGTATGGGTCACTCCTTTCCATGCTGGACATATAAGGCTGAAGGACTAAAAATTGTATGACAGGCTGACTATATTGGATCTTAGGTGGCAGCAATTACTTCAGGGTGTCTGGTTAGGACACTTGTAATGCTCAGGTAAATGCAGAATGAAAACTGAGTCTAGTAATAAAGTTTCAACTCTTTATAAACTTTGTATGAGTGTGTGTGGTTTCTGCAATACAAACACAACAATACACATTAATTAGAAATGAAGTACGACTTATCTTGACATAAACATACTGAGCTAGATATTAGATAATGAATGATACAGCTCCAGGTGATTAACCAACTTAGAGACAGCATTCTCCTCCATGAACCATCACCTTACCGTGGTGGAGGAGTTTGCGTGCTCTAATGAACCTAGGAGCAGTGGCGGCCGGCTCATAGGGGGGGCTGGGGCGCGGCCCTCCCTGAAAAAATTAGGGGAAAAAAGGTTTCTAATGATAGATTTTTACAATAAATATGTTTTTACTAGGGCTGTCAATCGATTAAAATATTTAATCGCGATTAATCGAATTGTGATCATAATTAATCATGATTAATCGCAAATTGATCGCATATTTTTGATCCATTCTAAATCAATCTTTTTTAAATTGTTATACTTTTATCAACATGAGAATCAACATGAGAACAGATCGTGGATTTTCGTGGTAATGGTGGTCCTACAAGGTAATTCATATGTCCAGTCAGGGCCGGGTCTAGAAAATGATGACTAGGGGTGCATCTCAGATCAGAGGGGGTGCACATGCCTGGCACGTTATTCAACACTAAATTATGCATTTTCCCGTCATTTCAAGCGGAATGAAACTAGTCAAACAAGAATATTAAAAATGTCTTTCATATGCTTTATTGTAGCAAAATTGTTGTAGAAAAAGGAAATGCAGATGTTTCTTACCCTGAATATTTAACATAGAAATTCAAACTATTTTTAACTATACAGCTCAAAACCATCACTAAACATGACAGTCATTTCAAGTGGAATTCTACCAGTCAAAAAAGAATATTTTCAAGGGGACCTGCCACCAAAGTTTCATACCCATTTTCATCATTTTTTCATAATCCTTGATGTCCTCTGATCATGTTTGCAACATAATTTTAGCTGAAAAGTTATTTGATGGTTTGTTTTAGTATGCCTAAAAAACCTTACAGGAAAACCAACTGGTTTTGGCTCATTAACATTTATGGTTATGAGCTTTGCTATGATCGCTGCTGTGAAGCCTGCTGTGCTCTGATTGGCTCAGCAGTGGAGGTTCGGATTTTGGTTTATCCATTGTTATTATGCTAATGCTAATAGCATATGCTAATGTGTGCTAAAGTAAGGTGCCCAGATGTCTGTAATGATATCCGTGGATATTCGGTGTGGCGGCGGTGCAGGGGCTGCAGGGGCTGCGTGATCACAGACAAAGTCTCGGTACTATTTAGTAGCAGCGTATGCCCCTTGTAATAACCCCCATAAGAACTGTTGTTCAGGACTGCTTACTTGTGCTTCCTACCTATTCGGCTACTGTAATAACCGGTGTTCGAGCCCACACGCAACATTTTGTGGTCATCCAATACGGGGACTGTCCCCGGAAATCAGGGACGTCTGGTCACCTTATGCTAAAGGCTAAAAACGGCAGGTATTAAACCATATATTTTAGACCCCGAGTCCGAAGAGGAGGTGGAAGTTGAGGAAGAAGCCGGAGATCTCCAGCGGTGTTTTCTCATTCATTCTGTCCAGCTTTAAGTTCATTTTCCCGGCAGTGAACCCAAGGAAGGCAGATGAGTGACGTGCCCTGACGTGCGCGCACTTCTCCCTCTTTCCAACTGAGCATGCAGCCACATAAACTGAGGGTGCAATGCATGCTTATGCACCCCAGTCATTGGATGCGATCCGTATGATTTCACGCAGACCAACGTCCTGCACAATGCTAATCGGCCGACAAGCGGTAGCCACCCATTTAGCGATTTCTGTTTCAAGTTTGCGTTTATTAGAGCTCTCCATCTGTTTACCTTGCATATTCAACGTTGTTTGCTTGAGGCGGGGGGGCAGACGCGGGGCTCTCTGCATCAACTGTGTGCTTGGCCGACAAGTGATATTTGAGACTAGACGTACTCCGGTGACTAAATTCAGCTTGACAGGAAACACAAATGACTTTTGTCCTGTCAAGAGAGCCATCTGGCAAGGCTTTGTAGCTGAACTTTCTGTTCAAAATCGTGTTCTTATCCATTATATCCTAGTTACTGCTCACGGGGATTTGTTTATGTCTGCTGCGGTATCAGTCAGTGCTCTACTTCCTGATCCGCGAAACTACGGAGTGCGTTAATCGTGTGTCAAAAAAATTAGTGGCGATAAAAGTCACTTGAGTTAACGCGACAATAACGCGTTAACTTTGACAGCCTTAGTTTTTACCAACTATTGTGGGGCCACTTGCAATACTAATCATTTAAACTACATTTCCCACCTGCTATTATTTATTTACACTTTAAGATGGGAGCACAGATACAGCATTTTGTGACATTCTGTAGTTTTTTAATCATTTCTGGAGTCGTGGCGAATCAAATCATCATACCCGGCTGCCTCTGATAGGTGAATAAAGCGGTCGGATTCATGCTAGGATCTTGCAATATGCTTTGTGAGGAAAGTAAACAATGACAGAGGTAGAGAGCACCTTCGGAGGAGAAGTGTCCAGCAGTGTGAACAACCTCTTCATATTGAGTGCTTTGGCTCACACTATTGGCAATTTCTTTGAGTGTTGCATGACTTTGGGTGAGCACAGACATGAACACACTGTCAGACACTTATTTATTTTTAATTTTTTAATTTTTTAGTGCTGGTCTTGTACTGGCACTATACTAGGGCAGCTGCATACCCTTTTAACATTTAATAATTGTTTTTACATTTGTATTGAATGGACACTTTATCATGACTGCCACTTGTTTTACAGAAAGCAAACAGTTATTCTCCAGTGCAGAGTCTTTACTTTTATTTATACAGCTGCTTTATTTCATTTGAGTTTGTTTATTCAAGGTTTTTTTAAAAATGTGATAAAGTTTCAGAAAAATAAAAGATAGTTATCTTGAAAGCCACATGTGTAAGCTCTCAAATATTTTTTGAATTTAGTTTCTATCTGCTACAGAGGCTGAGATATCAGCTTTTTTAAAACCTCAACACTTAAGAAAACCTCAGGACCTGGGGGCCCTTCTCAAAGATTGTATGTTTCCCTAATTATTTTCTCAGAATGCACCAGAATGCTTAATTTACATGTGAGAGCCAAAAAAAGATCTCCCGGCAGACCCCCTACAGGGCTCTGGTCTCCAAACTTTCCGCCACACCCACTATTTTCCTCACCAGCCGCCACTGCCTACGAGCTATGCTGTCCGGGGCTTTTTGCCCCTGGTAGGGTCTCCCAAGGCAGATTGGTCCTAGGCAAACGGTCAGACTAAGAATAGTTCAGAAGACCCTCATGACTCAGGCCCGGGGTTAGGGGTCACTGGCGAGCACCTAGTGCCCCAGTGATTGGACAGACCACCTCCAGGTCCTCTAACTCTGTTTGAGAAAACTGTGAAACAGAGTCCACTAACTCTGTTTCACAGTTTTCCAGAACCTTTTTGGAACCAACTGAGAGTCTTCCTCCATGGCCTCACTGAACTCCTCCCACGCCCGAGTTTTTGCCTCTGCGACTGCCCCGGCTGCGGACCACTTGGCCAGCTGGTGCCGTTCCGCTGATTCCGGAGACCCACAGGCCAATCATGACCTATAGGCCTCTTTCTTCAGCCTGACGGTTTGTGGCCACAGCTAGCAACAGCTGCTTCGGCAAGGGCAGAGCGGAAAAAAGCCCATTTGGACTCAATGTCCCCCTCTGCCCTGACCCCGACTAACATATATATCGAATAACAGTCAGGGTCAGGGAGCATTCCCCGGCCCCGAGGCGCAGGGAAGCAACCCTTTCGTCCAGCCAAGAAAACCCCACCGTCCCAGCGGCGAGCCTTGGGGCGAGCAAAAATACCATCCCCGCTCTCTGCCTCTCACCCTGAGCAACTCCAGCGTGGAAGAGTGTCCAACCCCTCTCAAGGATTTGAGTTCCAGAACCAAAGCTATGTGTAGAGGTGAAACCAACTATATGTAGTCAGTAATGCTCAACCTCCCCCACAAGCTCCAGCTCCTTCCCCACCAGAGAGGTGACGCTCCATGTTCCAAGATCCAGTTTCCATAACCGAGGATCAGACCACCTGTCTGTCAGCTGCCCAATCCATCAATCACCAGACCCTTAAAGTTCCTCCTGCGATGGGTGGTGGGTCCACAGGATGTGGTGCCCATGTGGCTCGTTCAGGCTGAGCCCGGCCGGGCCCCATGGGTGCAGGCCCGCCCACTAGGCACTCGCCAGTGAGCCCCAACCCCGGGCCTGGCTCCAGGGTGGGGCCCCGGTGTCCCTCCGGGCCGGGTACACTGTTTCCCTTCATTATTTTTCATGAGGGTCTTCTGACCCTTGCTGCTTCTGCTTGCTCTGTTCTGTGGCGGGATTTTCATTTATTTATCTTAATTGTCTTTATTTACACCGCTTTCTCTGCCTTGGCTTTTCACATATGCAAATGAAAGGGAGGGAAGGAGTTCTCTCTATGGCAGGGAATTCTCAGAACAGAGCCATATGCCAATGTGAAAATGTTTGCTTGTAATAAATAATTGATTTTGACTAAAGTGGTCCTGACTCAACTACTGTTAAGTTATCAAAGTAGACTCATGGAACGACATAAACATCAACAAAGTGTAACACAGGAGAAAACAACATAACTCACGGTTCAGTGGACGCACCAACTGTTATAACTCTGACATATAACTCAGCCGATGGTTGCTCTGAGCCAAGCAGTACGATTGTGGTGTGTTCAAGGACCTCGGCAGTGTAGGAATTTACATGTACGGCAGATATAATGAAACAAAACAAGCACAGAGAGAGTATCTTTTGTACATAGGGCAACCCTGGAAGAAAACCTGTTGGAGGCTGCA